GTGAAGTTTTACAGTTGCGCAAAGAGAAATAATTTCGCACAACAATGCATCTAAAAAAACAACGACCATCACCATGTATTTTAATAACTTTGAAATCTTTAACAGAAGAATGCTTATCATAACTACCAAAAACAAGATCTTCTGTAGCATTATGCAGTTTTAGGTTTTGGTTGAACCATTTGGTAAGAAGTACCATGAAAACCCCTTTGACCAACAACTGACCTCACTGCAGCATATTTTGAAGATTTGTCTATATTGAGAATGCATTTCTTACTATACTGTCCTCCATAAATGTGTCAGATGATCTTTTATTAATTACTGACAACATGTAACGATGTAGTGAGTCCACTGAACAATCATACCAAAACGATTCAATATTTTCACGAGTGTTTTTGATCCACTGTAACCTTCAACCATATCAGAAAGATAGATATGTAATGGATAGATACATTGATCAGAACATGTAAAAAGAAGTAAACAGACAGAAAATAAACGTCTGAGAAAGCGAGCCCTACTCTCCATTGAAGTTCTACGGTAAAAAACAAAATAATGCTTATCCCACTCAAAGTTGTTGCAATGAAGATGGTTGCGTTCAGTGTGAAGTAAACAACAATGTTCCAAAGAATTGGATCAATTTCGAATACTACTTTTTCAATTGCATTTTATATAATTTGAAAAATCAAGCGCTTGTTTATAAAATGTACTATTCAATTTCTCGGCAACCAAATCTAACATTTTGTAGAAGTCTACATCAACTTTACTCAATCCCCGAACTTTCGCTTCAAGTTTTTCTATTTGGCTCTGGAGAGATAAAACATTTTTATTATTTTCCCAGAGTGCATTGTGTAATGCAATAGTTGGATCACTGCCAGTCCGGTATAGAAGGGTAGATAATTTTTTGTTAATGCTTGATTTCAAGGAAACGTGTGAAGGAAAGTAAATGCAGCTTATTTCTCGAAGCAGCCAGCTGTTAGTTCTGCTATAAGATTCTAAAGGCTCTATTTCACTGTTACTGTAGAATACTTTATTTTCGCTTGGAATTTATTTTCGCTGAAGGGATGATTTCGTGAAAATAAAATCCAGCGAATATACTTTTTTTCCTATATTTCACATTAAACTCATCACAAATCAGTGAAAATAAATTCCATACAAAATGCCCAAAAAGCCTTTTCAGCGAAAATTAATTCCAGTGAAAATAAAGTATTCCACAGTATTTAATTTGCACATTTCATAATTATTTTCTAATGTGATGATGAAAAAATGTTTAACATCCAGCAGCAATATTGCATGTTTATTGAGTAAAACATCACCAACAAATGAAATAGTTTCATTCAATGCTAATGACAGCAAGTCACCACGACTACAATAATTTGAAACCATGATATTGTGCTGGTCAATAATTTCCCTTAGGATAATATCACTTGAAATGCACAACCCAGACTGCACATCTAATTTGATTTTGCTGGCTATTTCAGAAAATGATTTGTAACATTTAATACACACCATACTGCAGTTACTAAGTTGAAAGTCAGTTCCAGTAGATTGGTGAAAGTGAGATACAATTTCATAGTTGGGAATACTAGAGAGTTGTTAGACCTGCATGAACATGCAGCACACACTGTTTGAACTCTTCTCATTGTTTGCATATAATGAGTTTGGCAAAGAGGAAAATATGAAATGTTATGAAATATAGAGAAATCAATATCTAATTTGGTACAAAGAGAATGGAATGTAATTTTTGTTTCTTTCTTGGCATCATGAACACTTCGACGGCCACACATATCTACACTCTCCAGAATACATGAATACATTTTTCTATGTTTGGAGTTGAGTTGATAATGCGGGTTACTGAATCGTCTTTTGAGAAACCTTACACAAGCATTACAGATACAATCAGTTTCCGAGATATTGAATTCTTTCAGGAATATTTGCAAATCAACCTTCCAACTAATAGAATGATTGTACCTAGCTTCTCCTAGTTTCCCACAATTTTTACATTTCAGACAATTAGTACCTGGATGACATTTTTCACTGTCGCCTTTCCTTGCACCCCGACAAGCCAAAAAATTCAGGGACATTTCTGTACAAGGAATAATTAATAATAATTTGAATTTATCTTTAATGTCTACACTAGTTAATGGGTATGTGAATGAGAGTGACTTTTTTTCACCAACCCTTTTTTTATAAATAAATGGATTATTTATGAATACAAACAAGGAGGCTATCGCAAGAACAATCGCACATGACACAATTTTTAGTTGTAGAGCATCTTGCACACAGTTATGCAATACTTCTTCAGAAGTAGTCAACACAACAGTGTTTGGTGATATGGGTTTATTCTTCTGAGGAAGTTGCTTTATAGATGGATTGGTCATGTATGGAAAAATAAAGTACATACAAGCAGATACAGCTAGCAGAAAAGCAAGAATGTCATCAACTGAATGATCATGAAATTGAACTAGAGTTGTCTCAGTTGAAACTGTTTCTGAAAACTGGCAATTTCCATAATATTGCTTTAACATGGTATTGCTCCACGAAAGATAATCAAGAAACTGAGATGTCAAGCAATCGCCATGACAACACCACTTTACCTTCAGCATAAGTTTTATTAAACTTCTTAAGTCACATAAATTCTCATTCAACTTGTAAGATGTACCACCATTATCAAGCCTCTTTTGAATTCTGTTAACTTTTCTGTGCATCATTTTAATAGTTGCCAGGCCCCGATGAAATGACATCCTGCCCCTTTTTGATCCAAAACAAAATTTGGAGTGGAAGTTAGGCTCAGCAGACGGAATGTCCAAAGGAAGAAAGATACGAGTTAATATTTTCCCAAATAAGGCATATTTTTTGGATGCAAGGAACAAAGCAAAGTTGGTGAAGGAGAGAAAAGATCACAACAATACCTTCCAAGATCCAGCTATGAACAGAAAACAGACAGTCCTCTTGCAAGAAAGCAAGGCCAAGTAATATGATGAAAGCGAACATACCCTTTATATCAAAATAAACCAAATCATCACACAAATCAGACTTGTTGCGTTTGTTTCTGTATTTTAGTATGGTGTTATTTCATCTTGATAGATGTTTGGATATGTGATAAACTGTGATGGAAAGAAATGTTTATATACTAAAGAAATTATATATTCAAGACATTTGAGTACCATAAAAATAGAAATGCAACAATAGTAAACAAAGAGGGGCATTAGAAAAGGAAGAAAAATGAGAAATGTAAGAAGGCATATCTCACCACAGACTGAATTTACTATTGTTGCATGGTGTGATACAGAATTGTGAACGTGTCACTTTTCTGCTTATGTTCAACTCAAATGTACTGTTAGTGTTAGAGGTCCAAGTAAAACTGTCACAAATATGCAACAATGTCAAAAAGGATAGAGAAAATAAAATAAAAATTAAAAATATTTATTGTGTTTTCATTGGTGGTTTATTTTACCACAAAACTATACATATAAACATAAATTATTTTGGCAGAGTGACTGCAAACAGCTCTTCCAAGTAACAATTTAGCAAGTAGCACAGTAGTCTGAAAGGGAAAAGAAAAAAATACAAACAATTACTATATTATTTATAAAACGAAGAATATAGAATAACCAGTAACAAAAACAAAAACGCACAGTGCTGCAAAACGAATTTATATAGTCACGTAGGTTTCAACATAGAGCCAAGAATATTCTCAGTTCCATGGTTTCAACAAAATACTGCTTGTTCCTTTTTTCTTCAAAGCCCTCAAAAATAAATAAATAAATAGTCAATAAAAACTAAACAAATAAATACTATAATTTCGCCTTTTACGTTTGTCAGTGAAACTGAAGTCAATTTCAGATAATATTGTCATGTAGGTCAGCTGTTATTTTGGCGCCCTTTTTGTGGCGGGAAAATTGACATTGGCACGAAAAGATTCCAAATGTTAGAGAGACGCTGGAAACTTACAGAATTTCTCACACACGATCACACTTGTGTATATTTTCAGTAAATTTTTGTTTCATTTCACAACAATGTTGTGTAACAGTCCGCCGAAGAATTTGCAAGAGACACGTAAACGAACACTGATTTGCGGGTTAAAAAATCAATGCAAAATTAAAATTAAATTAACCCAAATAAGTTCATAAAAAGTCACCTGCACACACCTATTGATACATACCTTTCACCGATCACAGTAATTTTGGTTTCCGTACTTCACACAATATGTAATTTTCAATCAAGTGTAGCAGCCAAAATAGCCCTGTTTCTCAGTTCGAAACAATGGCGACACTAACGGGTCAAAGTTCAAATTACCACGGCTCATTTAAATATGTTAATGAGGGTTCGGCGACCGCACTGTGTAACCTTGACATCTATCGAGGATTGGCGCTGATGGCACCATTATTAAATCGATACCGTCGATGTTCGATTATCAACTCATCATATATCGCGAAAAGGACTGACATAACTATATATTTTTTTAGCGGGGGGGGGGCAGATCAAATGCTGGACAGATAACGACAATTTCGACCCAAAATGTGTTACTTCGCCACCTTTCAGTGATTTGTTGTTAATCACAACTCTAATTTCTGTCTACTTGGTCACATTACGTAACGCTTAGTGACACTTTTTGTGAGCTTCACTCTTAACATTACATAACTACTCGCCTCGTTTACAGTCGTTACCATAACGAGCTCCTTCTAAGTATGTTTTACAAAACATGGCCGATATTGTCAATGAGGGCGCATTTTGACCACGTGATTACAATTACGACAATGCGTCTAGATGGTTTACATGAAAACCACAGTTTCCACGTAGTTGTTTATGCGCACCGGCACCTTTTTCTGTGTCGATGTCAACGCAACTAAAATTGCAGCCTTTGAAAAAGTTAAGCTTGACTTTGCCGCAAAGTTTGCCGCATCGGCATTCACACCATCTTCCAAAAAATCGTCAATTAAAAGAGCTCACCAACGGAACGGCCATTTTCGCGAACGTTTGTAGTTAACGGACAGTACGTCTCACCGAAAAGCGCCACCGTTCAAACCGTTCGCGAACGCTTTTGTTTACTGAACGCGCCCCTGTTGACTGGTTGACGTCCGCTACACACAGTTTTTGTAGAAGCCCGGTGTGTTGCTGCGTGTGCCTGAAAGCGATGGCGAATGATGAAGAAAAACCTCACGGTTGTTTGAAGTCGTGCAGTAATGCACTGGTAACGGCTTTGGAAAGGCTGTTTTACAGGTAATAATTCACCTTTGCCAAATTACGATGTTCGATCATGGTTTGTTCATGAACAAATGTCTAATAACCATAATAATAATAATATCGTGAAAAACACGAATGTAGACTTGTATGTCTCTTGTTCATGTTTTTTTGTACCCTATATAAAATATGTTTTTGAGATACAGTCCCTCGGTCCTTTGGCCGAAGTGATTCACTTCTCAAAATGTGTTTCCCGGGTGTCTCTGATAAATAACCTACTAATATCGCTGGACTGAATTAAATGATATTTTCAAAAAATCATGGACGATTGGGCGAAAATATGTCGTGTTTATCCTTGACTTTTTTCGCTCGTAAACGGAAGGTCGATGACCCGATTTTCAAGGTTGTTCAAGGTTGATCGAATGGTTTCATTTGTTTCGACACAGTCCCTCTAATAAACTATTTCCCATAGAGGAGGGACTGTGGTTTCGATTTCGTTATGTGTCTAGAAACATAACAACGTTGTTTTTTGGTATTAGAAGATTTTGATATCTAATTAAAATTTTTAAACAATTTCTTATTGGAACGTCTCGCGTACAATCAGTCCTCTAGCTCTACTCTCCAAAATCACGCCACTGTACGCATGGTAAGACCATGGAGGTATTACCTTCATGGTAAGACCATGGAACTATAGTTCCATGGTAAGACGCACACCCAGGAACTCAACATTCCTTTTCAGGATAGCTGTATTTAGTGTTCATTTTGATGTAATTTGTCTACGTTTGTGGTTCTCAATTTCTGCATGTGAAATCGTATTGTATTGTATTGTATTGTATTGTATTGTATTGTATTGTATTGTA